GGGACATCACCAAAGATCTTAACTGCTGGTTTTTGGCTTTCTTCTTTATATAAAAGGGAACAGGATGCTTGAAAACATTTGGTTGACATATTGACATGTTATTAACATGACACGTTAACCCCAAATCCTAGGCAAAACTGTCCTTCAAAAGTGAGAGAGAAATTTAAGACATTCCCAGATAAACAAGAGCTACGGGAATTCACGACCACGAACCCTGCCCTGTAGGAAATACTCAAAAGGAGCCCTGCAAGGTAAAACCAAAGGACACTAGACAGCAACTCAAAGCCATGTGGAAAAGTAAAGATCTCAATAAAGGTAAATACGTGGGTAGTTACAAAAGCTAGTGCTATTGCAACAATGGTCTATTAACTGCAATTTTTGTTTTCTACATGATTTAAGAGATAATACATTTAAAGAAAATAAAAACAATTATTAGTGTAAAAGCAGTATGACTGTAACTTTGGTTTGTAACTCCAAAGCTTGTTTTCCACATAATTTAATGATGCATTTAAAAGAATTGTTAGTTTATGTTTTGGGGCACACGACGTATAAAGTTGTACTTTTGTGCCCTCAACCACCAAAAAGGGCTGAGGACAGAGCTGTAAAGGAGCAGAGTTTTGCACATTATTGAAGTCAAGCTGGTATAAACTCAAGTCAGAGTGCTATAATTTTAGGATGTTAAACGTAATCCCCATGGTAACCACAAAGGAAATTGCTATAGAACATACACAAAAGGAAATGAGAAAAGAATTTAAACATATTACTACCAAAAATAGTACCAAACACAAAAGATAGCATTGCAATGGATGAGAGACAGAAAAGCTACAAGGCGCACAGAAAACAAACAGCACAGTGACAGAAGTCCCTCCTGTCAGTCATTTTAGTACAGAGGAATTAAACTTGCCACTCAAAAGACAGAGTTTTAAAAAGGCAGAATGGATAAAAACAGAAGATCCAAATATATGTTGTCTATAAGAGACTCACCTGAAATCCAAAGACACCAACAGACTGAAAGTGAAAGGATGGGAAAAGACATTCCATGCAAATAGTAACCAAAAGAAAGCAGGGTGGCTACACTATTAGATAAAATTGACTTTAAATGAAAAAAGGTTATAAGAGGCCAAAAAGGACCATACATAATATTAACAAAAGGTTCTGTACAGCAAGAAGATACAACAATTATAAACTTTCATACATCTAATAGGACCATCAAAATACACAAAGCAAAAACTGACAGAATTGAAGGGAGAAATAGTTCAACAGTAAGAGCTGGAAACTTCAAGACATCGTTACATATAAAATAGATAAACAAGGTCCTACTGTATAGTGCAGGGAACTATATTCAATGTCTTCTAATAGCCTATAATAAAAAATATGAAAAGCAATACACACACACACACACATATATATATATATTTCTCAAACTGGATAAATAACTGGGAAAAAATGATTACACTCCACAGCATGGGTGGGCTTCATTCAATCAGTTAAAGGCCTTAAGAGGGAAAAACTGAAGTTTCAGGGAGGGGGTGATAAACTAGGAGTTTGGAATTAACAGATACACACTACTATATATAAAATAGATAAACAAGGACCTACTGTATAGCACAGGGAACTATATTCAGTCTTGTAATGACCTAATGGGAAAAGAACATATATATGTATATATAACTGAATCACTTCCTGAACCACTGCACATCTGAAACACAACATTGTAAGTTAACTATACTTCAATTTAAAAAATGACTACAGAAAAAAAAAATTTTTAAACACAAACACACACACACACACACACACACAATAAAAAACTGAAGTTTCCCAGAGAAGGAATTCTGGCTTAAGACTAACAAAAATCCTGCCTGGGGCCCATCTGCTGGCCTCCCCTACGGTGCCACAGATTTAGGACTTGCCAGCCTCCCACAAATCACATGAGCCTATTCCTTAAAATAAATCATGTATGTGGGCACACACACACACGTCCCATTGGTCTGTTTCTCTGCAGAACTCTTCATACACACCCTTTAAATCCATTCCCTACTTATATATATGTTTATGTTTTTTTTCCCTAAGAAATGAGTCATAATATACCTAAGAGTGTGCATCTTAACTTTTTCCTACAACATATTATGGACATCCTTCCACATCAGCAGGCTGAGACATAACTCCTTCTCATAAGCCACATGATAAGCCACTGTATGATTATTTTAGCAAGGGACTTACAGACATAGGTAGTTTCCAGTGTTTTGCTCTTGGTCCCATTATTTGCATCCAGCTTTCAAGAAACATATTTACCCCCTGCCTTTGTCTTACATTCTCATGCTTTACTTCGAGGATAGATCTATTTGTAATCCACAAAAATTTACCCTGTCAGATTTTCTCAGCTGCTCATTTAAAAATAAATAGCCTGCATTTCATGCCAAATATGTCTAACAGGTGCCCTGATCCAAGGGAGAGGACAGTTCCAGGCATTTAAGGTCCACCAGCAGCCAGCTGCTCTGACCTTCACATGAACTCAATCATGCATGGCTGTCATTTGATCTCTTTGGTAGGAGGACTGAGACTTTTTCCTCAGTTCTGTTTTCTCAATAAACCACTGTATTTAATTCAAATGTTAAGACAGGCTCCTACGAAGTATTTTTAAGTTAAAAAAAAAATGAACGAGGTTTGTGTATCGTCCACTGGTTGTTTTATACCCAACCAGAGGCATTTCTGCCTGGCCCACAGTGAACCCCGGATCCCAGCTCCTGCCTCTAACCAACGCCAAACACTGGAAGGAGGAGCTTCAAAAGCAGTGATGTCATCACACTGGTGTTCCAATCTCCAAGGTGCCTTGCCAAGCGAGCCCACAAACCGAATTCACTGGCCTCTACTGAGCTGCAGTGTTTCACCGAATGGGAGGCCACACAGACATTCAGGTAATTAGTAAGACAACCCTAACAACCTCTCTAAGCAGAGAGAAATGTCTGCAGCCACTTTCACGAATGCTATTTCTGCTCCAGCCTCCTGGACGCTTTGGAGCTTGTCTCTGTTTAAACGTTTCTATGTATCTGAAATAACCACACATCATTTTTATTGTTATATATTACTCCAGTTTATTAAATAATGAAACCAGATTTATGCCACATATTCCAACAATGTTTAAAGAAAGAGCTCAAAATACAAAAGCTTATGAAAACTTTCAGTCTTTATATAATATACATTATTTCTAGCGCATGAATAAATATGGCAAACAGGAGCCATTTTTATACCACAATCAGCAAAACTTAGCATCAGTGATTACACAAATCCACAAGCAAACAAACAAAATATATACTTTCTTCATTTTGGTTATAAAAGCTTAAACTCCCTTTGCCACATGTAACCAATAACCAGTGTAGAGGGGATGGGGGACTTAGTTCCTCAAGTTCTTTGTTGGTTAGAAGCTTCATCAACTGCGTTACTCTTTCAGGAAGTAGAAAAACCGAAACAGGTTAAGACCTTGTTCTATTTAATAAATCTACACTGAAGAAATACTACATTTTTGTCTTAAAAACGTACTTACATTTAACAGTGAGGTTTGATTTTCTTTTCATCCTGGTATGAACATGTACATATTTGTTATTGTATTATTTGTTTTTTTTTATTTTGATGGGGGGGGACATAATTAGGTTTATTTATTTTTAGAGGCGGTACAGGGGACTGAACCCAGGACCTCATGCATGCCAAGCATGCACTCTATCACTTGAGCTATACCCCTCCCCCCGAACATGTACATATTTGAATAAATTGATATAATAAATATTACATGACAAGATTTACACGGTTTTCATAATGAACTTGCTTCTACCATCTAAGGAATT